AAGGTTACCTTCTGCATCCAACAAAGGAGGGAGATTCTCCCTGGCCCTCCTTTTGTCACTGACATATTTATAAAAACTTTTTTTGTTGTCTTTAACGGTGGTGGCCAGTTTAAGTTCCAGCTGCGCCTTCACCTTTCTGATCTTCTCCCTGCATATCCTCACAACATCCTTGTAATCCCCCTGAGTCACCTGCCCCTTCCTCCAAAGGTGGTAGGCTCTCCTTTTTTTCCTGAGTTCTAGCCAAAGCTCCCTGTTCAGCCAGGCCGATCTTCTCCCCCACCTGCTCAACTTGCGGCCCATGGGGACGGCCTGCTCCTGCGCCTTTGAGATTTCCTCCTTGAATAACGTCCAGCCTTCCCGGACTCCTTTGCCCTTCAGGACTGCCTCCCAAAGAGAATGACAAAGCATCTGACTAGCATGCCTGAAGAGTGTGCCTACCTTTAGTTGAACAAAAAATTGAATACCCCAATCATTAATGAGAGGAAAATAAGTGGCCTCACCAGCTTCTAGAAGCAGCTCTTCTCAAGCAGTTCAGATATTTCTGTCTTCAGATGAAGATAAAACCATTAAAATGATAAAGCTGCAAACTAGCCCACATTGCAACAAAGTACATTTTAAGAGCCCCTGGAATTTTAGTCAATATGTTGGCAGTGGTTCACTTGGACTGTAGTATGTAGCAAGTGTGAGCCATTTATTGTAAGAGAAAAAGGGTCCAATATCTAACTCCCCCAAATTGGAGCGATTTTTACCATGCCACTGAAAACTGCATATTTTATCAAAAATATCACAAAATGTGATTTAAGGTTAGCTGCAAACTGTGCCCTTCCTAATCTAAACTCAAAGGGCTTGAAAGATTGTCTACTGCTGTTCGCTTGGTTCAGTCAGAAAAAAAATTTCTCACTGATGCCAGAATGCTCTTCAGGAGGATTCACCTTCACTGTTTGCTTTACTATCATTTCCTTCATCACACTTGCTGACCCTTCTTCTGTGATTCACCACACCTCAATCAGGAAATTATTCCATTTAACTCGACGGGGCATTAAGTTTGGAGGTTTTGGTTTTGACTTCAGCCACACAAGTGTTGTTGTGCTTGTTGATTTGTTCAGGCTTATTGGAAGCCTGATTTTGATACTGGATATTGATTCATACCCTCTTGATTATTATTAATGAATTTCAAGTGTGTGCATATTTGTGTGTGTGCGTGCACTTATGAACGTACACACAGAAGAGGTAATATTTTCCAAGATTAAAAGATTCACCCATCTGGAATCCTTCAGAAAGGAAATACATGTGCAAAATTTGTGGTAGCTTTGAAAACCTCCATACACTGTAGATGGATAAACAGCGTAGCTGGATTAGATACATACCAATTGATTACTTTTTGCTGAAAATTACCGTGAGTGACCAGTATCAATTTAATTATGGAGAGGCCAGCAACTCATCATAATACAGATATACTCGCACACGCAATCTCATCCAGTAATATGTGTGCCTAGCTAAGAAGAAAAGCATTGAAATAAGTATAATAAAAGGGCTCAGCAGAATTACTTAATTGGTGGAAAGTACAGCAGTTCTCAAAACCTTGGGAACTTTTCAGACTACTAGTTGGAGGCAAGTCCAGCTCTATATCTAACAAGGTCCATTTCTGTTCAGTACATTTGTTTATTTATTCTCCAGATTCGGCAGGGTATAAAAAACAGATATGCACAAAACCAACAGCCACGGCTCTCTTTTGTTTAGGATCATCCATTGTTGAATCATTTTTCACTGCAGCCAAAGGGCCTGTTTGAACTTCCTGACTGTTCATCACACATAATTTGGAGTATTTAACATTATGTCAAGAAAATTGCCCACTGCTTCCCACCGTGGAAACCTATGGGAGCTCTATATCTTTAAACTAATTTTACTTAAAGTATTCCGTTGAATACCATGACTGTCTCACTATAATCAGTGCAGCAGTAATGTAATTAATCTCAAAATTGCTGAGGGGAGTATAAGGCATCTCAGTTGCTTGTCGTAACAATCTAAATTAGCGTATTACTGAAAGATGTTGGGGAGGAACAGTTCATTTTAGGTAAATGCTGTCAGGGTATCCATCCTTTCTATTTCTAAAACTGAAATTAAAACTATCATCATAGTTCTTTTGAAATCCAAATGAGTATGTTTTGAGGTGGGAAAGTATAATTAAATTTGATGTGGTATTCCTACAGATGCAGTTTTGCATTTTATAATAATTAAATTTCTTTGAATAAAAACTCATGTTTTATTTAGAAAAGAAAAACTGGTTTGGCTCAAAGCATGCCATTGTATCAGAACAATTCCCTTTTGTCACTGAAACTTCACAGACGGCTGCTTCTTCTTTTCCTAAGCAAAAAATTATTCTTGCTGTCTTACTTTTTGTACAGCCATCCTTTAACTCTTCTATTTAGAGATATTTTGACTGGGCATGCATGTGTTTATTCCTGTACTTGGTTTTTTTTTGTCCCATCCCCTCTTCTCAGGAACTAAATCAAACACCGAATGAAATGAAAAATATCATTACCCTAATATAAAGGTTATGAAAGGTGATGAAAGTAGTAAATTGAGGCCAGTTTGGCCTGTTATTCCCTGTGGTGCCACAACACAAGAATAGGTAGTGTTTTCAGTTTGCTACTACTCTGAAAAAAATCAGCAAAAAAAAAATTTATCTTTTAAGGTCTAAAGATTAATCTTTCAACTGCAGATAAGGGAAGAGAGTAGGACTCTTGTTGGGCAAAGAGTTGAAAGCACTTCTCATGCTCAATGAACTCCCCAACATTAAAATGACAAGACAGAACATTTGTCAACTGTCTGAAAGAAAGTCAGATACTGCATTTAGATGTTGTATTTTGTCAGTGACGATCCAAAGCAGAACACTGAACAATCCAGAGAGATTATCACCTAATCTGCTCTTTTAATACATATAAGAAATCAAAATGTAAGTAAAACAAGCACTGAATAATTAAAGAAATGCATAACAGTAAGGGCCTGATTTTAATTTGCATAATTTTTCCCTTAATAGTGCCTAATTAAGACATCAGTTTAAAAAAAAATAATCCAACAGAACTCTAAGATTTTCCGCACTGAATTAACGTTAAGGACTTTTAATGGATGTCTTAATTAGACTTTGTTATTCATGGAAATTTTACACAAATTAAAATCAGGTCCTGCATGCAACATTCCCAGCTGAGTCTCAGCAAAAATGCTATATGGGACTGAAAGACTTTTAATCCATGCGCAGATAGCAATTTGTATTCTAGAGCCAACATACTCCATTTTCACTTTTTGGTTTAATTTGCATTAATGTTGTAACCAAAAAAAATCACATAGTTAGGATTTTTCCCTTCAAAGTAAAATTTGATTTTATGGACCCACTTTTTGTTTTTTAAATACGTAGAAAGTCACACAGCTGGACCAGAACATTATCCCATGGGGACAATAGCCACAATGACCTTCTGAACAGCCCAGAGGGGCCATATCTGTTATTCAACATAGAAAGTTTGATTCAGTCTCAAGTTCTATTGCTGTTGTGCCTGAGACGCACACTGAAAGGCCTGTCATTATTGGTGAAAAACAAAACAAAACAAAGCCCAAACCAAAATGCTGTCACAGCAACCCCTTCATCCCTGATAAGACAGTCCTTCCAAAGGAACCTAACTCTTTGGAGCAGAAAAACCTGACTGATGTCTCTTCAGTTTACATTCCCAAGGCTCTTCCAAAAAACATACTACAGCACAAGCTACAGGGCTCCCCAGGAGCCTTTCGGTCAAGGCATCAAAAATAAATAACAGCCTGAGCAGAAAAGATTACATTACACTGAGACTGGAAATATTCCAAGTATTGACAGACCAAGTCTCAACTGCAGTTTATCCTATAGGGCAGATCACATGTTATCACACAACACTATGTGCTGATGCTACCATAGAAAGCAGTTTTGCACACAGTCCTTCACAAATTACTTCGCTAATGAAAACCATGTTAATTTCCTATATCAGACCCAGGTCTGAATCAGTGTAGTAGCCACAAAATCATCTGTTACTGCATGTTCTCTACAAAAGGAAGAAAAAAAACCACTATTTTGTGGGTCTGTGCTGTGCTCACTACAGTAATGTCTTTTCACCTGCGCAAAGAAATGTCAGGTGCCTATGCAACAGGGCAAGAATAAAACCCTTTTTAATTCCAAATCACACACCGGGTTCTAAATGTGTTTTTTAGCCACAAAATCATCTGTTACTGCATGTTCTCTACAAAAGGAAGAAAAAAAACCACTATTTTGTGGGTCTGTGCTGTGCTCACTACAGTAATGTCTTTTCACCTGCGCAAAGAAATGTCAGGTGCCTATGCAACAGGGCAAGCATTACCTGGCCAGAGTTTATTTTCATTGTCAGTCTATAAATATACCTGTATGTCTGCACGTGTGCATGCGTGCGCATGTACGTATCAGCGCAGTCCTTGCTCCATCCTGCAGCAGGAGCTTCATCTCTGGCAGCCCTGCATGGCCACAGAGGCACCCAGCCTGCAGCAGGGGTGTGGGACTAGGACCTGCCGTGTTAGTGCTGCCAGATCGTTCAGTATAAGTATTTTTCTTACACTTGACAGAGGAACAGCAAGTCGATATGACTAACCTGCCCCCTTTATTCAACCACGCTGAACAGGAAAAGTTGCTGGATCACTTATATGCCAGCTCCCAGCTTGCTCTGAGACCAGAACTAGTGAGATACCAGTCTAAACACCTTGGAAGACACATATTCCTCACACAATTTCTTTTGGAGGGCTCGCATTGTTTTACAGTACCTGGCTAGTCTGCGGGCTGGACGGGTCGTAAGAAGGTACATAATTCTTCAGAGTATCCTGAGGATTCAGGTGGGGAGGATATCTGATCGTTGGATGAGAGAAGTAGCTAGACGGGGCAGGAGGGAGAATAGCTTGTGCTGGAAATGGCAATGGTGAAGGTGGAGGTGGAGTTCTAGTTGAGATGACTGGAGAAGATAAAATAAAATTAAAATTACTTCGCATCTTGTTTCTTCTAAAATTCTTCACCTCTGTGTTACAGCAAGAAAAATAAAAAGTTAGTTATAAATCAGTACACGACACTCCTGCTTCATGGCATCGTTACAGAAACACTTACATGTCTTCCCCTCACATCATCCCAGGCAATGGAAAGTGCTACTGTTTCAAATTTGTAAATATTGTATCTTGGTTTGGTTTTGTGGGTTATGCATCATATTTTTTCATTTTTTCTTTAAAGAGTAATTGTTCTCCAGGATAAAAGACATTTCAATTATACAGTTTTCCCATCTGGAGCCCAAATAAACAAAACAAATATTTTACTCAATAAATAAAACCTACACTTTTATCCACAGCACTCCAACAGAGGAGAGCAAAGTCACCAAGTCTGAAGAAACAGTAGGTCATTCCACGCTGCATTGCACTCTACCTGCCTCACGTGGGGACCAGGTAATAACCACTCATCAATAATGCCATGAATATTAGCTGACCTTTGCGAAAATGCTAATGAACATTCAACTTCAGGGCCTGGGAAACCAATCCATCCAATACAAATATCGCTGACAAACAAAAAAGTATCTACCCTATACATATTTTTCTTTGCAGTTTCTTTCTTCCCAGCCCCTACAAACACACACTTCTCTATCATCTGTAGACGATATGTAATGTCTAAACAATCAGCAATGTTTTCACAGTGAAAGGAATGTATAGCATGTCCTGCTGCGGCCCAGTCATCCAGCTGGAAGTGGAAAGTGTTCTTCTATCACATTGCACAACAACCAACTTTCCACCCTTACTACACACCTAGAGGCCACCTCCTTGGCAATGTATTAAAAAAGGAGGTACTGAATTCAATGGAAATGGAGAAAAGACAACAGTGCTTTCATTTTCATTAGTGGGAAAAAATCAGGTCTGTATAAGCAAGGTATCTTATAAACTGCTCACAGGTCTATACTGCACCAGCACTGCTCTTCTGGACCACCTCTCATATCTTTGGTTTTTTTCCAGCTTAATTTTTAAATGACTTGCTATTTTTGAGCTGAGACCAAGTCATAGTTTGCTCAAGAAAAAACAACAGTAAGAATGTTCCAAAATTGCTGTACTTGGTAATCAAAACCTTGCAAATCTCAAAAACATAGCTCACTGACATAATAGAACAGGCTACACAGATAGAAATCAGGTTCCCTAGCAAGTAAATAGCTCATCTACAAATTAAGTCATGACTGTCACTCAAATACATATATCTAAAAATTATACACTGAAGTAAATATAAAGATCTACACATAAGTATAGGGCCAAAAATAATTACAGAAACTTCCTTTTTAACAGGCTCATTTTAATCACAGCTCTACCAGTTCAGTTGCATCATAAAACTTTAGTTACTGCTCTGACATGTGGGAGCTGTGCAAAACAAATATAAGTCAGAAGAAATCTATCCCTTCCATTTCACCCATCATCTCTGATGTGCTACGGTATTTGCTGGTAGTGGAAAGCTTACAGAGACAAGGATGAGTCCAGGCTCACTTTCATAATGCAAAATCAGTGGATGTTAAGGGGAAAAGAGTCCTTACACACAAATTGAAAGAGAGGAATTTGCAATCATGGAGAAATCACAAAACAGAGACTTCTCAAAGCAGAACTGCATGTTAAAAAAAAGAAGAAAGAGTCCTCAAATCTGTTCTACTTCTCTAGTCACCCAGCTCTTCTCAAGAAATTAATCCCTTTATATGCAGTTCATAAGGAGACATGATGAGCTGCTGAGGGGAGACTTCCATGCTCTCATCTGAAGAATTGGGGTCACTCTCACCTCTAAAATTAAACAGACCATGATACTGGAATTTCCCTGTCATTCCTGATAAACCCTCAAGGTAATATGTATTCCGTCACATTTCAAGTGTCTCCTTCACACTTTAAGTGAAGTTTTACTATAGTTTTACTATGGATTTCAGAAAACAGATGTTGAAAAGTATTTATCAGGACTCTACCTCTTTAGACAGAGCATTCAAAAGAAGCACTCGTACTTATTTCATTGTGTCACATAATGATCATGGTTGTGACTTCTCTTGTGTATTAAACCCTACCTATTCTGCTATTTAAATACAACATAGTCATAGCAACAATATAATAATTAAAAAGGATGTAGGTGCAAGGAGGGAAGATGGGGAGGATCTTTCCTCTGTCAGTTTCTTCATGCAGTTTACAGCTTATTTTATCCACTGGTTAATCCTAAATCCTTTCCAGTAACTTGCAGCAGTCAGACTACCTGAACTAAATGCATCACAATATGATTGTAGGAAAGAAGAACAGACTAAATGAATAGGGAGGTATTGCTTCATCCTCCATAACCCTCACCACTGTGTGCAACTCCTGGGATTCCTGGGTGGTGATGCTGGGGAAAAGTGCTCAGTCTTGGTGAAGAATCCTGGGGAGAAGTAGGACTAAACAAAGGCTTTTCAGGTTTCTTCATTGTAGGAGAAGACATATCTGCAACAGAAAAAACAATGGAACAGTGACATTAGCTTAGCAGCCCATCTCAGGACACAACATTTTGTAGACTGAAGATATTTATTTTTACTGTTCTTGCATAAATATTGTTTGGTGACCCAACTCCCCTATGACCAATAAATTAACTTTAAACTAACTCTTTCAAACTTGAGAATGAATAATAATCCTCTAACTGGTCTTTGTCCTGCAAAACAGAAACTGCATTCCTTTCATACCAGACAAGCCAAACAGCAAAGAAGTGCATGTCTTCAGAACCTCCCTAGACACTTATCAGCTCCCCAGAACATCACCAAATCATCTGCTCCTTCAACAGCCACATAATCTTTATTGCATTTTTTAATGGAACACCTACACTCAGGTGTGTAGGGTAACTGCCATACACATGCCGGCTTATGGTATTTATTATTTTGTTATTTCATAACCCATCCCTTACCCTTCCCAAAACCATAGTGAAACAATGTAACCTCCCTAAGAATAAAGGATACTTTAACTTCTCTATCTCATATTTTCCATGTCTCAAGCAGAGCCTTCCCACCTCTTCCTTCCAGTTTTCCTATCAACAAAAACATCTCTTTAGAGCTCACTCTGTGAAGATAATACACTAGTAGGGACAAATGTATGATTTCTACCGTGCAGGGTTACTGATACTGCATAAAGCAAAAATACTAGATCCTTTCTGAAAGTTTAAATTAATTAAACAACATTTGTTGGACTTCGCACCAAATTATTTCAAAGTTAATTATAATATTTTTATAGGGCACACATCAATATTGTAAGTGGGTTCCATTTTAAATCAATGGGACTAACTCATGTTTAAAGCAAAGGTCTTTTCTTAAGTACTTTAGTGGACTAGGGCCACACTGCAGCTGACTTTCCTACATGGACCATGTTAGCCCTTAAAGTGATTTTGGCACTTTTAATATTTGCACACTACTGTGCTATTCTGGGGGACATACAATCATCTTGGAAGTCAAAAACAGGCCTGCAAAATGTGCATGCCTTACTGAAACCAAATTGGACCAGTGCTTTCTGAACTGGCTGGAGTTTAAGAGTGGGTTTTCCCCCTGAAAGCTGTACTTGGAGCAGGACCCATCAAACCGAGAGACCGCTTGTCCGCTTTGCCCCATCCTGCTGTCAAGCCCTGCATAGGCACTGGCACCAGACCTAGAGCAGACTCTGCCAGTGCCTCTCCACCACCCTCCTGCTATCCCCTGCTCCCCTTTGGTTCTGACTACTAAGTCTGCTGATTTCCCAGATACCCTGCAAGGTTCACCTCTTCAAGAAGGTTGCTGAGAAAGGATTTTATTCAGTGAAAAATTCAGCAAGAGCGAGGAATTGCTTGACAGCAGAGCAATTCAGCACTCATTCAGTTTAAACAGATATGACAAAGGTTACTCTATGTTTTCTGTTGCAATTTTATGTTGTTATCAAAAACACTGAGTGCTGATAGAGGCACCTCTAGCTGTCATAAAAATTTGGTAAATAAATTGTTGTTGAGAAAGACAAAGAATATTTTGTTTCTTTGAATCTATCAGCAGGTAGCAAAGACGAAGTTGCCAAATGGTTACAATTTTGTTGAATTCATTCTGCTAAGCTAAGAAATAATTTTTAAAATTGCAAGACTGAATTTTTTTAAATTGAGTTTTGCACAAGCAAACCATGATAAGAAGGCACATTAATTCTGGAATGATTTTCAAATATTTCATTATGTTTTATTTTCTGCTCTAACGACAGTCCTAGCTTCTTCATATAAGGACCTAGTTCCATCAGTGCAAGAAAATTCTCAAACCTCCACAACAGATGTAGAGTTTTATAAAAGCCCAGGACAAAATTAACCAGCTACTGTCTTTGTACTGTGGTTCTGTGCATGTGCAATCTCTGTCTCTGCAGAAACGCTGCAATGTTACAGTCAGAGGAAAAAGATAAGCATGTCTAGTAGTTTGTAGACACGGCCTCCCACTACAACACTGTGGTCATCAGTAGTTGTCACAGAACTTATCAGTGACCAAATATCTTGTTGACTCTACCACATATAGGCTACCACGAAAGAGAGAATGTACCAACAGTTTAATTTTATTTCAGATTAAAAGTACTGCACTTAAGTCTCTTTAAGGAAAAAACAAACCATGGGCTAGAAGTGGAAAATCTATTCCTTATGTAAAGCTCATATTCAACAAAAGAACTCATGAAAGAAAGAGCTGCCTAGCTCCTGAAGGTCTGCATGCGTCAGCAGCTCTGATTTCTGGAATGCAACAGAGATTTAATTAGGTTGGTGACTGTTACTTCATTAAACAAGCAAAAGTTGCTGTGTTTTTCAAGACCAAATTATTTTAGTTGCTCAAAAGAAGTATGCTATATGAAGTGCAATGTAATCAGAGTATCCATTAACCCCCCAGTGGCATCACTAATTTGAAAAGAACCTACTGAAAAGGAGATTGGTGACTATGATAACCCTAGCATTTGCTTTAAAAATGTGTAATTTATTCCTGCTCCTACTTTACGGAAGTAAGAACTGTAGTTAGCACATAGAAAATAGATGGCATAAATTACAAAGCAAATGCAATGAACTTCTCATACAGAAGGCTGTTTTCCCATCAAGGTGAATGTGACTGGTAGTCAGGAACAGAAAATTCAGCACTGCCATAAAAATACTCGTTACCACCAAAACAGTAACTTTAACATAGACTGCACAGCACAACACCATGAAGTACTTCCAGAAGAAGTCTCGTTATATATAGCATAAGCAACTGCAACGAATAACGGCTGAAGCGCACGGAGCAGCTTCATTGTTAAAACACTGCACTTCGCATTGAGAAGTAATTCAGATAGCCCCCCCGCAGCTCTCCCCCTGTGTGCCTGGCCATCATAACAGAGCATTCATGCTCCTGCCACTGCCAAATAACAGATGCAGCCAACAGGGAGACAGAACAATAACTGTTTGTATAGGTTAGGAAGAAAAGCTGCAGCCATTTCCTCCTTGACCAAGAGAGGAGACTTAGAGCTTTAATAGGAAAACACACAAATTACATTTCTTTGGAGAGTTACCAGTTACAAAAACAAAAAGTGGGGAAAAAAAATGCAAAGCAGTTTTTCACTATCTTTAATTTTGGTCATAAGAAACGGTGCTTTTAAATAAAGTGGAATGAGCTAAAGTGACAGCGAGAGTCCATATGATTTTACTAGTAGCTTCTACGTAATAGAAAGCACACATTTTTCTCATTTTAAAACTTGTCTTATTTTTTCCACGTCATGAGATATAGTCTAGTAGCTACATAGAGCTTAGTATATACTGATAATTACATAATGAATGACAAACAGAGGTCACAAAAATAGGCCACTTGCTTTTATGTCTGTGTCAAAGTTTCAGGAATGAGATTCCAATCCTTATTACTTTGAGAATGAAAATAAAAGAGTTTCAAGTGTGACTGATTTTTAGACTTTTGGAAAAAAATGCTAAGTACAGATGAAAAGCAGAAAGATGATAAAAGCACTTGGACAAAGTTATCAAAAGGTCAACATTAATAAGACACTGTGTCCTGTCCTGCTGAGAATTTTCTTCAAATGTGAAAACCGGGCTTTTTTTTTTTTTTTTTTAAATTATCTGTGCTGGTTCAAATCACTCTTGCCTGTATTCTCATGTTACTGTGGAGATACAGTATGTATGCACACAAACGGGTGGCATGTTATACATTTTAAAGCATCACATCAAAGAAAAAAGGGCTTATGCAGATAAAAAGAGTTAGATCATCTCATCTCCCAACAAGGTAAATCTGTCTACATAGGAAGACAGAAGAGCTGCTGGGACGCATAGCGTATGTAGCCTGTTCATCAGCAGCTTGCACAAATGGTGCTCCAGATGTATAGCTGTTCAAGACAGCCCAAGGCAAAAATTTTGATCAATTCTGATGTGATAAGATGCTGCAGGGAAAGTGTGCAGAAGCGTGTTTATGTCAGCCTTTAATTAAACTGTTGTTCACTTCCAAAGAACTTTAGGAAACACTAATGAGACATGAATTTTGGCAATTTCCTCATCAAAGACCCTCTTCCTTAGTCTGAAGCAGTTTGTCATCCAGGCAGGTCCCTGGACGAATGTCACCTTGGAACACCAGTTGGCAAGCCACCTGTTAGGAGAACTTGGCCGGAATTGAGCAGTGATCCAGGGCAAGTTCAAACATCTACCTGCCTGTTTCTGGACACCTGATCTGCTTTCTTGCTCACCATCGCAACATGGTAGCTTCTCTTTCTTGCTCGTGAGACATGCTTATGAGCACAGCAAGAAGAAAACATACAAAAATATTAAATCTCTTTTAATCTAGTTTATTCTTTAACTCTTCTTATTAATATCTTTTCGACTGCTTAGTTTCACAAGCCTTTCTTTACAAGGCACACTCCTGTAGACAACAATCTGAAAAGATTAATTTACAACTCATTAGTGTAGTATCACCTCCAGAGAAAGCAAGATAAAACAATATTCAACTTACTGTATAGATAACCATAGTGAAAGCAGGAAAGCTATGGAGTCCATAGCGCCACTGGCGAGATATGAGGCATCCTTTCCATGCTACAGTTTTAAATGAATTGCTCTTTTCCCACAGGCAGTACCTGGGACAATTTCTGGTGGCAGGATACACCACATACATCACATCCAGCTGGGCCTCACTGTCCACTGCTTCCACCACATCTGGTAGGTACGCTTGTGTGAAGCATGTGTGAAAACTAAAGCAAAATTTTAAATTCTTATCGGATAGCTGTATGATGATGATGAATCATGACAAATCCCCCTGTGCTCAGTAGAATCAGTTTCGGTTGACACCTGTGCATGTGCAGAACGAGCAGAACCACTCTGCACAGGCAGAGCCAGCATCACGAATTTTCAGATGTGCTCAGTCCGATTTCCTTTAATGCTGTAAGCATTCTGTATTTCTCAACTGTAGGTCTTAATAAGGCACCTAACACTGAATATTGACAGCTGAGTGACT